AAAGGAGACCTCGTCCTGAAAAGAATCACTGGTACTCATGTCGGCCCGTTGCAACCAAAGTGGGAAGGACCCTTCAGAGTGAGTCGCCAGATTTCTCATGGTACTTTTCGACTTGAAACATTGGACGGTGTTCCCCTTCAATATCCTTGGCATACAACGTATCTGAAGAAATACTACCAGGAAATCTGATGCCCGAAGTCCTGTCCCCGACGTGTGAAAAAGTTTTTTGTCCTACCATTGTACAAGAATCATGTTTTGTTATCAATAAACTTTGTGTGACGAACTCCAGTAATTTGTTCGATCACTCGGACCACTATAAATCGGTCCTCGCTGCCAAGGCTAAACGTGTTTCATACCCTGAAGATGGTATGACCTAGCCGAGTGCAGCAAAGCCAGATACTTCCAAGCCCTGAAGATGGTTTGGGGAGGCTTATGCTCAACGATACCAGATCCCAACGATGATTTGGTGAGCTTACAATAAATATTTCCAATAAATAGCAAATCTTTTATGATTTGTTCGATTAAGAAGTTTACAGATGTCAGATGAGTTGTAAATTGCTTCCGATAATTGACAAGTTTAATGTCGGAAGCACTATAAGATTACACCGACGTCAGTGATTCGTATAAATTATTACTGATATCATGTCGGAAATTTCAAATTTAACAAATGATTACTTATCTTTTCCGACATGATAAATCAATAAAACAAACATCTCATTCATCAAACATTCATATTCCATCACGAAATCAAATAACAAGTACATTCTCAAAGAAAAAATAAACAACAAAATACCATAAAGACATCAGTTTTCTTTGGTCCCCGACGTCGACGCTTTTCCGGCATCCGAGAGTTGAGGATTCTCCATCTCAGCCTTGCCCCTTTCAACGCCATCTAAGTGATCAATCAGTCTTTGGCTCAAGCGCTGAACGACATCCTCTTCCTTCTCTTCCAACGCACGGACGACGTCGCTCTCTTTGATCATAACAACGTCGCCGTCTTCATGCAAGACACGATCATCATCAGACGGGACTGGGTCGATCACCCATCCCTTGGCCTTGGCATCATCTTCTGCCACCTTGCGCGCAGCATAGCCGACAATTGCACCCAAGAGCTCTTCATCCGATAAGCCCTCAAATGTCTCGGTGACAAAAGCCTCAGCAATTGTCTCCACGCATATGTTGGCCATCTCAGGCTTCTTGGCCTTTTCCACCTCAAGAACCATGTCGACAAACGATCGCCTGATTTTCGCCTTTCGCTCTTCCGACAAAGGGACCATGTCCAGCTCCAGCATCCGACTCTCTTTCTGCTTTAGGAGTCGGTCAGCGAAGTCCCTCTCGTCCTGGTCGGCCGGGATATGGGCGTTCTTCATCTCCGGGTTGAACCCGTATTTCTCCATCTTATGCAGCAAGTAAATGCGCAGCTCATCTATGGTATACACGCCGCTGTCGACTCTGTCGATCACCCACCGTAAAGCCAAGGCGGCGTTCAGCTCCAACTCCCATTCTGTCGTCGCCCCGGCATCAACTGCGTCGTCGGGCACAGTTACTGATTTCTTGCCGACTTCAATGCCTTCCTGGAACTTGAGCTCGGCGGCGACGGTCATTTCTTGTCGGAGCTTGTTCATCGCCACTTCATGAGCCTCACGGCTTCGGATCAGCTCTGCATCCTTGTCGGACCGGTCTTTACGGACGGCTTGAAGCTCAGCCTTTAACCTTGTGAGCTGCTCGTCCTTTTCTTTGGCCACCTCTGCAACTTTGGCCAGCTCAACCGACGTAAGGTCATGGGCCAGCAGTAAGTTCTCCTTCTCAGTCCTAAGGGTGTTCATCTCGGTCAATGCCGCCTGCAATTCAGCATCCTTCCTTGATAAGGCTGCCTCATGGCGAGACTTCTCATCCTCTAGAGAAGCTATAGCACCCTCTTTCAAGCTCAGCTCATGTTGCTTTTCGTCAAGTTCGTGAGCCCTGTTCCGGTAACTGTCTTCGGCTGCTATAAAACTGACCAGAGCCCGGCCCAAACAGCCACGGGCATAGCTGAACTTCTGGTCATCCGGCAATGACGCGATTCCCGCGTGAGTCTTCGGGTCCCACGACATCAGTGGAACCCTTGCCGCTTTAACCGCTTCATCGGGGAACCGCTGATTGTTCGTAATCTTTGGCTCCACAACCGTTTGGAACATCGGAAACCAGGGGTCGAATACACCCTCTGGCAGCGTCAACTCTGCCGCTTTCTTCTCATTAATTTTGAAGAAGGAATCCCTCAAAACAATCTCGGGTTCCTCTTCCTCATCCTTGCCGGCACCGGTGTCCTGCCTTTTCTTCATTCTCTCAGCCATGTGAGACACGCTGGACCTTTTACGGCGATGAACTACCGGCTCGTCGGGTACCTCCTGTCCTCCCTGAGAGATCTCCGTCTCAACCGCAGATTCACCCACCGACGTCATTACTTGCCGTAGTGGTTCTACTTCCAGAGGCGGGACATCGGTAACTGCTGGCTCGCTCGCGATAGCCGGTGCCGGTTCTACCCTGGTTGATGATGGTTCACCAACAGCGCTCTGAGGTCGGTTGGGATTTTTCTTCCATGCCTTGAGAAGATTCAGACGTCCAGCCATTTCGGTTGATCGAAGATTCTTGTTTTTTCCGACTTTGTTTTTCAAATCCCAATTCGGATTGCGTCTCCGATACTCCTCAGCTTCTGTGGGATCTCCGAA